AAAAAAAAAAAAAAAAAAAAAAAAAAAAAAAAAAAAAAAAAAAAAAAAAAAAAAACTTTATAAGTACAGCTCTCACCAACCATGCAAAAAAGTTCAGCTTTTTAAAATAAACAAAAACATATCTAGATTGATTAAGGTATATGCCAAGAATTTAGGGAATCCATTATAGATCATTAGCATACTAATGAAACCCAAAAGTAATTAATTAATTAAACATAAACCTCCCAAATCAGCTCTTTTTGCATGAATTTTGGAGGCAATGTTTTAGGACATCCTTGGAAGAACAATCACAGTGTCCTTAACCAAAGAGATATGTCCTAAATTATGAAGAACATAATGAAATGAAGTTAGAAAGAATGGTACCAGGAAGCTGCCATGGCTCACAAGTATGCAAGTCAATCTCCACAAGAGTGCCCTTAACCACTTGCTCGTTCATAATCTTCTTGTAAAGATAATGGCACACCAACTCTTCATCACTCGGATAAAATCTAAACCCTGGGGGTAGTGAAGCTCCAATATCTTTAAGCCCCATTACTGTAATTTACGAACTCTTCAAGGGCTGGATGCAAATTCTGGGAATCCAATTCAACACAGAATCCAAGAACTTTTTAAAAGGGGAATTTAAGAGAAAGAAGGGTTCAAAGAAATGGGTATGCAATAAGAAATAAGGATGTGGTTGGGTTGGTGTTCATATATATAGTTGGGGTAGGGATGACTATGCCATTATTTTGCCTATTAAGTTGCTATGAGCTTTTGCACAGGGAGGTAGTTATAATGGTAAAGTTTTGGAGCCAATTCACGAGCTACAACAAATCTTTACAAAACTAATTCACACTTACAAAATATGTACAAAAGGTCAAAAGAGTTTTACAAGGAAACCATCCAAAATGACCCTTTTTTTCTATTTACAATTATTAAAATGGGGATTGCAGTTAAAATTTTGTATTACAACCCTAATTTAAAAGTAGGTTTCTTGTAATACAATTAAAGTTAAAAAGGTTAAAGCTTGAATTTTTATTTCTATATATTCGGTTTTCGTTTTATCTCCCGCAGGAAGATTCAAGCATTTGACTTTTTTTTTTGTTTTATTCATGATATATGTCTTAATCAATTAAGATATATGCTCGGTTGACCACTTTTAAATATTCCTAAACTCAAAATAAAATAACTTAATAACCTCTCAACCCCAAGGGAGAAGTTTCCACTATTTGTAATGGGCTAAAGATAAGGTGGTGTGCCAACGACGGGCTTGGGCGGTTACAAATGATATCAAAGTTAAAGATCAAGTGGTGCCAACGAGGACGCTAGACTTAGAGGGGTAGATTGTGAGATCCCACTTAGATTGGAGAGGAGAATAAAACATTGCTTATAAAGATATGAAAACTTGTCTGAGACTGTCTCTTGCTGTTCTATAAGATTAGAAAAGTATTGGAAAGAATTAAGTAATGGGTAGACGGCTCTTTCATCCATTCAATTATATTAATCAGCCACAAAACTGATATGATTGTATAAATGTGTGGGATTATGGACCATACAAAAATGGGGCCTAGGCTAATGATCATAAGAGAATTATATTATATGATGAACAACTCCATTCTTCAAGAGTTTTGCACATCAATAAGCGAATGCCAATAATTTTTTAAATGTGGACAAAAGTATGCACATCACAAAATTGTACAAAAATTTAAAAAATAGCTGTATGTAATGCATAATAATTGGTAGATAATGATGATTTGACAACGGTCAATAAAAAATCATCATTTTTGTAATTATTCCCACAAAAATTAATACATTAATCTAAATAATATTTAAACCTTTGGGTCGGGAGTCGAGTCAATTTAACGAATGTAAACGGAGATTCAATAAACTAAGCTATACCCAAGTTGTCATTTTTTCTAATTCAACGTGTGGGATTGAAAGATTCAGATTTTTGATTTATGATAATACAGTAAATGATGTAACTAACGACCGTGGCAAAATGTACCCTAAGGAACAAGTAAAGGGGAGGAGATGACGTGGGAAAGTTTTATTATAATGATTTAATGAATTGTAGGGTTAGGGTTTGTTTTGGAAGGAGGAAATTTTGTTTGGTTAATATAAATGAAAGATTTATATGATATGTTGGAGAATGAGTAACGGCTTTATATTCTCCCATATTTCCATCCAATAATTAATTCCTCCAAAATACTCCTAAAATTACTCTTTTTTTTTTTTTTTTAAATAAACTATTGATGACGTGTCTCTTGATTGATGATACATGCATGCCAATCACCTTAATTGATGGGTTTTTTAGGTTTAACATGCTAATCTCTATTAATTAATTAATTAATCATTTAGACTCATGTTGCTAAGCCCAACTCTTGGATTTTTGGATCTTGCAATAGTGATGGTGAGACTTGATTAATCAAACACACTAATCTCCTATTATTATGTTAATCTACTGATCATTTTAATTTTTCTTTTCTATTTTTAAATAAAAATCTATGTTTATAATCTTCATTACTTCTCTTACCAAATAATTTTTTTTAAAAAAAAGAAAGATCAATATTTAAGAATATTCTTTTAATAGTAATTATCAATCATTTAATTTAATATTACAATGGTGATTAGAAGTCGACTAACTTAAATATGCAATAGTCAACTTTTTTTTAAAAATAGGGTCCGACTAGTGCAAATCTAAGTATTTAGATTAAGGAATGAATTTATTAAGTTCGTCGTTATAATTCAATTAGTGAGTTCTATAAGTTAACACGAGAATAAATGATTCATTATATGATGAAGAAAAATAAATATTAAAAGAGGTCGGGTAAGATATGGTAAGAGGCTAAAAAAATATATATGAGAATCCATATAGAAGAGTGACAGACTATATAGCTAGAAATTTTAAAAAGATATGATTATAATAAATCTATATAAGCATGAGGAATTGGCATTCATGTGCGAGCGATACCAATTTTCCACAACTTTACCATAAAGTTAGCAACTTTTTGTGTATTTTAAAACTCTTTATCGAAAAGCTAAGTTTCAGTTTTGAAAAAAATGTTCCATATCCCACGAAATATTACATAAAATCCTTCCCTTCCCAACCCCTAATTACTCTATCGGATCAAAAACCCTAATTCACTCAGATTTCAGCTCTAAAAATTTAAACTCGAATCTGGATTATATTTTCCCTTAAAACCCTTTGAAACCCTTTTGATCTATTATGGTTTTGGGTTTGTTTTTATCCAACAAATTCACCCTTTTAAGGAATTGGCTTCAACTACAAGATTTAATGATATTGGAATCACATTGTTTTCAAACAAAAGCTAACGTATGCAATTGAACTATATAACACAATAAATGAGGAATAATTCACCATCTCAAAAAAGGGTTTTTCTTATCTTTTCTTTTGTTTTCCTTTATTTTGGGTACGGTCGCTTAAAAATTGAAAACGATTTGGAATATCTTGGGGTCCCTCATCCTCTTCACATATATCAATTTAGGAGTCATTTTCAAAGTTAATCAAGTTCAGATAATACCAATTCAAAAGATTCGGTGAGTAGCTTGCAGACATGGGAAATTGTTTTCTACAAGTAAAGTTATCACAAAATATGAATATTTATCTCTGTTTTTTTTTTTTTTTATTATTATTATTAATTTCCAAGCTTCCTTCGCCACCTAGCTACCCTTTTGTTTTCCAAACCACACACAACTTGTAATAAACACATGCCTTAATCTTCGCAAACCCTTTTGTTTAGCCACCAACAAAGCTCCGGAAAAACCATGGGGAAACACACACACAAAAAACATAGATCATCTTTTTCTCCAAATTTCTTCCCAGATCTGTCGTGAACATGACATGATCACTGTTCTTTTAAAGTTTGAGTAAGATAGATCGGTTTGTTCGGTTGATTCTTTATTTTGTAATCTTTTATTTTAATGCTGATTTAATTAATATTGTATCAACTTTTATGCTTAAATTCTATATTAATATTTTTCAATTGTATGCTCATGCATCCAGGAAAGTATCTAGATGGTAAACTTATATGATATCGAAAATTTAGATAAAGACTCGGTGGACATACCATGTAAGCCAAAATGTATATCATCCTTCCATGCTTAATTTTAATGTTTTTGTCAACTTACTATGTGTCTTTCGCTTGCCCGATCCAAATGGCAAGCTTAGTCACTTGAATGGTGTGGGAAAGTTCTCTATTTATAATCAAATAAATTATAAGGATATAGAACACGTATAATAAGATGTTAAGTATCGTTAACTTAAGGAGAGGAGAGATTATTGAGGGAGGCAAATTATTGGGGGTTCACATCAACAGATGTTAGCCAAAGGCTGCAGAGTTTTGTTTATTTTTCTAAGTACGTGAAGTTGATTGCTCCATATCAATAATTAATATCAAGCAACCCTAATCTTCACCAAACTTTAGAGGCTGGTGTCTGAATCTTTGGACCCTTCTTCCCTCTTCATTTAATTCACCGTTCTTCCTGCCCTTAATTTGAAAGTTATATTTTACCTTTTAACTCGTACCATTTAACTCCATTTTTCTATTTAATCATTCCATTTCAAAATGTATGGTTAAAGTTTTAGAGCCTCGAGGGGTCAGTGGTCGGTAGGGGAATCAGAAAGAGAAAGCGCGAGAAAGAAGGGAGACAATGGTGTCATCCAACATGTCATGTTCTTACTCTAAAATAAATTTTATCGTTGATGTCACGTGAAAGTTAAGTGTATGTTCTTGTCTGAATTTTGACAACAAACATTCTTAAACAATGAAAACCAACCATAATTATTTGTAATGAAGCAGTATACGACTCGTATTGTTGAAGTTGAACAACGACCAAGTTTAAATAGATAAGAGATAGTTTGGTTCGAGCATCAAGAACTTATGGACAAATTCCAATAATCATACACTCGGACATATCTTTTTTTTAAGTTTAGCAACCAAATGGGATGGTGTTGCACATTTTTTTATGTAATTATTGAAAAACAACAAAATTTTGGCTATCAATCAATCAACACTTGGTTTTAGAAATGGCTAACTTATTTGAAGAGATTCAAATTTCTAGTCCATCGAGATTGTAAAATTATTTATATTCTTTTTCTAAAAAATGGTAATAGAACATTATAAAACTAAAAATTCAATAGAATATTAGGTAGAAAATTAAGATAGCAATAACCTGAAATGATATAATGGTGTGATTGAGACGTTTATCTGAATTAAATTTGAAAAACAATGTAATAATAGTCTACCACGAAATGAAAAGAAAAGGAACGACAAGGGACGAGGATTCATTAATGCCTTACCCCACGTATTAATATAATTAAAATGTTTAAAAATTGAGTTAACCAAAAAAAGAAGCCATGAGATTCTTAGAGTTAAAAAAAAGATGGTATGGGGAAGCTGATGCTTTGCTTAGGTTACATAGAAAAGGACTTTTCAGTTGGAATTATATTCCTTACGCAATTAATCATTTTCAGCAACACTTTAATGGATTCCTATTTCCTATTGCCTTTTTTAATTTTCTTTTTTAAAATCTTTTTAATATTTTCACCCCTCACCTCAAATCACCACCTTTTAATTTGTTTTTCTCTCCCTCTAATTTCAATTTTGTAATTATGAGCTTAAAAAGTGTCTAATCCAACATTTTTTAATTTTCAATCTCTTATTTAATAACGTGAACTTGGTTAGA